AACGTCATCAGAAGCCTGAGCGAAAGACAATGAGACACGATGAACGTTCGAGAAACCTGACAGCTTCCCGAAACCAAACAAAATATGCATGCCACAGCCGATGGGCAACCTGTGAGAAATGAATGAGATAGCCATGAGACGCGATTGAGCAATCTGTTGATGCGACGCTTGTGTGATCTTGTGTGACCTTTATGAGATATCTCATGACAAATCCTATGAGAAGCCTATGGACACATGCGAACACAGTGACAAAGCGACAAACCGACGAACCGATGAGACCGTGGCGACAAGCTCTAGGTCCCTCACCACTAGTGACCTGAAGTTCTGAGCTGAAGGGACATGACCCTCGGTGAACATCACATTCTGGGGGCTGACCATTTTTCCCCACTCCTTTGTGCGCCTGCCAAGCATGGCTTCTGGCTATTGGACGAAAACCTGCACCACCTAGGAAACCCTGGTTTCTGATTCCATTCCCCTGTAAATACCAACAAACGTTACGGTTTCAACCATGGTTTCCAAGTGGTGCCTAAGGAACGGATTTCGAATTTCAACCATCCACGGTACTTATTCCAGTGGGACTGCCTGGCTTAGTAGCGATGTGGGGAGCTTACCGCCTTGCTCGAAAGGACCACAGGTCGGGAACTGGGCTCCAGTGGTTCGTTGCCATGCCTTCTGCTTCTTCAATCTCTTTTGAGGGGACCCACAAAATGAGCGGTGTCCTTTTGGAAAAACCGGGTAGCCTCAAAAAGGAGAGACCGGCCCATGTTACCTCTTGCCGGAGGTGCGTTTGGAGCTTCGTTGCATTTTTCCACCGGTGTGGGTTGGATGGGACCTTAAGCGTCGATCCGGCAGATCCGGCTGCGGGTGCTCACACAGACATTTCCCAACACGCCAGGCGCGGTCGAAAAATGTCCAGAGGGTCCACGTGGGGTTTGGGGCACGGGGGACGAGCTCCAAGTTGTCGGTTGAACGGAAAGACAAGGTAGCGAAAGACCTGAAAGAACGCCTGGTCCGACTGGCGGAACAGGCTCATGCCGTGTAACGGAGCGCTCCGCAACATGAAGGGGACAGCCCAACAATAGGTCCACCAAAACTCACTGCCCATCAGTGATTGCACCCAAGCGCAACAAGGCAGGGCACTCGCTAAGTTTCCGCTGGCCTCTTTGTGGGCTCATGTAGGAAGTGGCAAGGAAGGCGGGGCCGTGTTTTTCTTGTCTTCTGTTTCTTTTTTCCGCTGCTGTCTGCATTCTGCAGAGTAGACATGTTGAGAGGTTTTTGAATTTGCAAAGGCTTGAGTCTCGGAGTAGGCTGCGGTTTGGTTTTAAGGTTTGATTTCTATTCGTGTTTCTTCGCGCATTGTCCCTTTTGGAGACCCCTTTTCCTTGGGATCTGGACAGGCTCTTTGAAGATAAAGATTCAGCGAAGAATGGGGAGGACAGAGCCATGGTGTCGAAAGGGCCACAAGGAAATCAATGAGAACGGATGGGACGGCCCCTTGTTGGGCCTCACAAAGATGGGCGGGGCCGGACATGTTCGGCGCTCGTGGGCAGACATGTGAGCTGAAGGGCCAAGAGATCACCGGACAGCCCTCGAACTGTGCGTTTTGTTCGGCAAGTGTTCCCTTTCGAATCCAGTCCCCCCCCCAAGCTTCTCCGCCAGAAAAAATATAGAATCCATGTGCGTGTGTGTTGTTCAGTTGTTCGTCTTCCATTTGCTGAACGGAATCTGTTTTTGAGTTCCCCCCCTTGGCTTGGACATCTTCCATTTGCTGAAGCATGTTTCTTAGTTTCCCCCCTTGGGGTTAAAGGGAATCGACTGGCCATCTTTCCTCCTCGTTTCCCGGGCGAAAACGCGAAACCGGACGTCGCCGGAGGCCTGGCCATCCGGGACTACTGGAAGCCCGACGGCCGGACGGCGCCTTGGCCGATCCGATCTGGGAGCCACAGAAAGTGGCAGCCTAGGTGCGTGGTGGATTCCGCCCCCCCTCCCACCCGTATGGTGGACACTTAGGGTCTATTTTGCAACCTCAGTCTTTTGGATTATTGGGATTTTTAGGGTATGGTTGCAAAATAGCATGGCACTCCCCCCCCCCCCCCCGTTTTTTTTTGGTTGCGGGTAACCCCATCTGGCTGGGAGCCTCCCCCCTACCCCCCCCCCCCTCCCCCAAAAAAACCAAAACAAAGGATGCCGATTTTCTTCTTTTCCTAGCTGGCCACTGGGCGTCTGAGGGAGAGGCCATTTGTCGGCCCCGGTTTCCGGTTTGGCCGACTGGGCCGTGGGTCTCCAGTCCGCAGTGGAGATCTCCTCTGAGACGAGTTTGCGGCGCAAGTTTCATTGAACGTGGCACAGGATCACGCATCTCATGTTTGGTTCGGGGAGCGGAAGCTGAGTCAGAATCATCGACCTGTGTCTGTTGAGGGTGCCCTATAAAAGGGATCATGCTCGAATGGGAAACCCAAATGAATAGAACGGTTTGAAGCATTTCCCTCTTTGGAGACAA